AAGTGATCAACAAGGTTGGCAACACTGTCCTAAATGCACTTTACTTGTCAAAGGTGCAGTAAAAAGGTAAAAGGTTTTCAAGTTTTTTTTAATTTCTGTAGTATGATTTATGAATTTGCATGTTACGTGCAATACGTTGCGAGAATATATTCTTTTTAATTGTCGATTTTAATAAGTTATTAGTTACAAGCTCTTTAAAGTAACAAAAGTAGTTTTGGCCTCTCACGGAAAATATCTTGCCAAAAGTGAGGTTAAAATAGCTTTCACAAAACCTCGTTGTTTCACACGCATTGAGTAAAAAGTGAGGTTAAAATATCTTTCACGTGAAATGAAATGGTTCATGAAATATTTCAAACACAAATCAGTAATAAAAAAGAGTCTTGCAGGCGCCTAGTGTTTTTTTTAATATAAAAAAATCTTCGGGGCCTCTTGTGTTTTGTTTTTAAAATACTTACCTCGTTTATTTATAACTTTTAAAAAATCTTAGGGGCTCCTAGCGTTATTTATTTAAATATGTGATGTTTCGTTTTTGAAGGAGACATCAAAATATTGTCAAAACCTAAAAATGAAAAATCGGGAATTTTAAAAATCTAAAAAATCCGAAAATCCAAGAATTAGAATATCGAATAGATGAAAATGTTGAAAAATGTAAGATTTAAAAACTCGCAAAATTTTGAAAAATCGAAAAATCGGAAAATAAAAAAATCGATTAATCGAGAAATTGAGACACCGAAAAGTACAAAAATTAGGAACGCCAAAAATTGAAAAATTGAAAAATCAAAAAAATTGGAAACTCGAATAATCGCAAACTGAGAAATCGAAATAGTTACAAGATCAAAAATGGGAAAATTCAAAATGGAAAAATTTAAACTTAAAAACCTGATAAATCGAAAACTGAAAAATCAAAATATCGAAAAACTGACATATTAATTGCGAAAAACTGAAAAATCGAAAAATCTAAAAACGAGAAGGCAAAAATCCGAAGATTGAGAAATCGAAACAACAAAAAAACTGAAAAATCTAAAATATAAAAATTCGAAAAATTGAAAATTTGAGAAATCGAAAAACTGAGAAATCGAGAAATCGGAAAGACGAAAAATCGAAAAGTCGAAAAATGAAAAAATCTATTAAACCAGAAATTGGGAAATAGCAAAAAAAAATTAGAAACGCCAAAAACTGAAAAATTGAAAAATCGAAAAATTTAAATACATAAATCCTAAAACTGAAACGTTGAAAAATTGGAAAATCGAAAAATCGAAAAGATGAATTATCGAAAAGCTGAGAAATCGAGAAATCTAAATCTAAAACTTGAAAAATCGAAATATCGAAACATTGGGAAATGGAAGTGGCTAAAAATCGAAAAATGGGGAAATTCAAAATTGAAAATTTTGAACTAAAAAAAAAAACGATAAACCGAAAAAATGAAAAATCGAAACATTGTAAAAAGATTGGAAAATCTAAAAACGATAAGGTAAAAAATCGAACGATTGAGAAATGGAAACAACAAAAAAGAAAAAATCTAAAATTTAAAAATTCGAAAAATCAAAAATTTTAAAAATCGAGCAATCAAGAAACATCAACAAATCAAAAAATCAAAAAACTGAAAAATCGAAAAATGTAAGATTTAAAAAGTCGCAATATTTTGAAAAGTCGAAAAATGAAAAAATCTATTAAACCAGAAATTGGGAAATAGCAAAAAAAAATTAGAAACGCCAAAAACTGAAAAATTGAAAAATCGAAAAATTTAAATACATAAATCCTAAAACTGAAACGTTGAAAAATTGGAAAATCGAAAAATCGAAAAGATGAATTATCGAAAAGCTGAGAAATCGAGAAATCTAAATCTAAAACTTGAAAAATCGAAATATCGAAACATTGGGAAATGGAAGTGGCTAAAAATCGAAAAATAGGGAAATTCAAAATTGAAAATTTTGAACTAAAAAAAAAACGATAAACCGAAAAAATGAAAAATCGAAACATTGTAAAAAGATTGGAAAATCTAAAAACGATAAGGTAAAAAATCGAACGATTGAGAAATGGAAACAACAAAAAAGAAAAAATCTAAAATTTAAAAATTCGAAAAATCAAAAATTTTAAAAATCGAGCAATCAAGAAACATCAACAAATCAAAAAATCAAAAAACTGAAAAATCGAAAAATGTAAGATTTAAAAAGTCGCAATATTTTGAAAAGTCGAATAAGTAAAAAATCAAAAAAACAAAGTCGAAAAATCTAAAAATTTAAAAATCGAAATACATATTGAAAAATCCCAAAACTTAAACATTGAATATTTGAGAAATCGAGAAATCGGAAAGACGAAGAATCAAAAAGTCGATTAATCGAGAAATTGAGAAATCGAAAAATCCAAAAATTTAGAAACGCCAAAAATTGAAAAATTGGAAAATCGAAATCGAAAAATTGAAAAATCGCGAAATCGAAAATCAAAGTATCGAGAAGTCGAAAAATCGAAAAATTGGAAAATACAAAAGCTGAGAAGTCGAAAAATTGAAAAATCCAAAATTTAGAAAATCGAAAAATTAAAAAAATCGAAAAGGCAAGAAGTCAAAAAATTGAAAAATGTATAAATCAAGAAATTCAAAATTTAAAAAATTGGAAAATTGAAGAATCGAAAAACTGAAAACTCGAGAAACTGTAAAATTGCAAAACTGAAATGACGAAAAATCGGAAAATCAAAAAATTGGAAAACCAAAAAGTCGAAAAGCCGAAAATTCGAAAAATCGGAAAACCGAGAAACCGAAAAATCCAAAATTAAAAAATTGGAAAATTGAAGAATCGAAAAACTGAAAACTCGAGAAATTGAAAAATTCCGAAACGGAAATGAAATTGGGAAATCAAATTGTCAAGAAATCGAACAATCGAAGAATGAAAACATCGGAATACCCACATATCGAAAAAAATAATAAAATCGACAAAATGAAAAACCTGAAATTCGAAAAATCAGAACATCCAAAAATTGAAAAATTCAAAAATTGAAATGTCGAAAAATCGGAAAGTCGAAACAGTTTTAAAATCCAAAAACTGAAATCTTAAAGAATGGAATTCAAAAATCGTAAAATTGAAAAATCGAAAAATCAATAAACTGAAATATCAAAAATTTGAAAATTCGAAAAACATAAATATCGAAGATCTGAAAAACTGAAAAATCGAAAAGTACGAAAAATCGAAAAGTGTAAAATTTAAAACATTGAAAAATTAAAAGATCGAAAAATCGAAGAATCGGAAAATTGAATCTTCAAAAAATCTAAAAGTTGAAAGATATGAAACTTAAAAATCGAAAAATTGCTAAATCCAAAAGCCGAGAAGTCGAAAAATTGAAAAACAGAGAAATAAAAAATATTAAAAATTTTAAAAATCCGAAAATTGAAGAATCCAGAAATTGAAAAATCGAGAAAATGTAAAATTCCAAAACTGAAATGACAAAAAATTGGAAAATCGAAAAACCCAAAAGATGAATTATCGAAAACTGAGAAATCGTAAAATCGAAATCGAAAAATTGAAAAATCGCGAAATCGAAAATCAAAATACCGAGAAGTCGAAAGATCGAAAAATTGAGAAATGGAAGTGGCTAAAAATCGAAATATGGGAAAATTTATAATTGTAAAATTTTAACGATAAACCGAAAAATGAAAAATCGAAAAATCTAAACACAAGAAGGCAAAAAATCGAATGATTGTGAAATCGAAACAACAAAAAAGTGAAAAATCTAAAATGTAAAAATTCGAAAAAAAAAAATCGTGCATTCAGAACGTCAACAAATCGAAAAATCAAAAAACTGAAAAATCGAAAAATGTAAGATTTAAAAAGTCGCCATATTTCAGTTGAAATATTCATGTATTTCATACCTTTCAGAAATTTCATTAAACTTATTTCAAATTTCCCGCTCACATCTGCAGACATAACCCAAGTCCTGATTCAGTGTTGCCAACTCGGGGGATTTTCCCAGAAATTTAACGGATATTTTTGGATTTCGGAAAAATCTAGGGCCAAAACTTCTTTAGGGGATTTTTTAGAGAGTTTTGTAAACATCCAGGCCTGAACGCAAAAAAATGTGTAGTCGTGTTGACTGATGATAATAATAATAGGTAGTGAGCCCTCTACGTAAAATTATCGGAAACAAAAACTGACAAGTGACAGTTGATTTGACAGTTTACACTCGGACAACTGCTGGGCAAACACAAAAAACACTTCTAATGTAACAAAGGCAAAGTAGTGTCAGTAATATTCATATTACTCATATACTTACAATTTATATGGGCAAAATACTTTTTCTATTTTGTATTTAGGGAGTTTTTAGGCTAATCTGGGGGATTTTTTAGACGGGTTTAGGGGGGAAGTGATCAACAAGGTTGGCAGCATTGTCCTGAATACGTTTACTTGTCAAAGGTGCAGTAAAAAGGTAAAAGGTTATTAAGTTTTTTTTTAGTTTTGTATTATGATTTATAAATTTGCATGTTACGTGCAATACGTTGCGAGAATAATTTTCTTTTAATTGTCGATTTTAATAAGTTATTAGTTGCTAGCTCTTTAAAGTAACAAAGTAGTTTTGGCCTCTCACGGAAAATATCTTGCCAAAAGTGAGGTTAAAATGTGAAAGCTATTTTAACCTCACTTTTGGCAAGATATTTTCACGTGAAATGAAATGGTTCATGAAATATTTCAAACACAAATCAGTAATATATAGGGGACTTGCTAGGCAATGTATAAATCATTTTTTCCCTTTTTCTACGATAAAATGACATTATTATGGATATATTTTATACCAAACTGCAGCTTTTTTCATGTTCTAAGCCCCTGAAAACCAAATAATGTGACAGAAGTATCGTGAAAAAAGCACCATTGTTTGAATTTCTTGCATTATGAACAAGAATACGAACACAGGGTCGGCAGTTCGGGACTATGAAGACAATTGGTCCCGTTAAGCGGGACCTAAGCCACCTCTTCGCATTTCTCCCCGTCAGAGTCGTCAGTTGGTACCCCAAATTCCCCCAATTCACCAAACCCGCACCATTGTCCAATATGGTGGCCGGCGTTAAATAAATAGTTTTCCATTTTTGTGATGTTCTTAACCCATTTCGTTGTCCAAGTGTGCAATTTTCCTTTAAAAGTGATGTTTTTCCCCTGAAAACCAATCAAGATGAAATGGGCCATACTCCTAACCATTTCGTGCATCGGCCAAGGCTTGCAGCAGGAGCCCATCATCGAAAACTCCCAAATAACCCATCGGGACAAATGCCAGCAAATTACAGTGCCTTTTTGCATCGACATCCCTTACAACAAAACCACAATGCCCAACAGCCTGGGTCACAGCACCCAGGACGAAGCCGGCCTCGAAGTGCACCAGTATTTCCCCCTAATCAAGATCAACTGCAGCCCCCATATGCAGCTGTTTCTGTGCACGGTCTACATCCCGCTTTGTACCATCCTGGACCAGCCGCTGCCCCCGTGCCGGTCGCTGTGTCTTTCCGCCAAAAAAGGCTGCGCCGGGGTCATGATGAAGTTCGGCTTCGAGTGGCCGGAAGCCCTCAATTGCGAAAAGTACCCAGTCAACACGCAGTTGTGCATCGGGAAGGATAACGTCTCCGTGAATGGGGTGACGGAAGTGAGTGAAATTCCCGACAACAATAAAGGGAAAGAGTTTGTTAGGGAGTTTCCAAAGTATCCCAGAGATTTCGGGTTTGTTTGTCCGGTGCAGTTCCAAGTAAAAAGTCCCGATTATTCACTCACGGTGGGGCAGAGGACGGTGAAGAATTGCGGCGCTCCGTGCCATATGATGTTCTTCAGCGAGACCAAGCGGCAATTCTCGCAGGTATTAAAATAAATCAAAACAATGAAAATGAGGTTATGATTTTTTTCGTAGGTTTGGATAGGCACTTGGGCTGTGCTTTGTTCAGCGAGTTGTCTTTTCACCGTTTGCACGTTTTTGATCGACACTGACAGGTTTCGGTATCCGGAAAGACCCATTATTTTCCTGTCAGTGTGTTATTTGATGGTTGCTTTGGCCTACGTTGTTGGATTTATCGCTGGGGATTCGATTGCCTGCAAAGAACCGTCGCCCCCAGAAAATGGGATAACGAAAGTGAGCACGATTATGCAAGGGACCAAGTACGAGATGTGCACGATACTATTCATGGTGTTGTATTTCTTTAGCATGGCTTCGAGTATTTGGTGGGTTGTTTTGACCCTGACGTGGTTTTTGGCAGCTGGATTGAAATGGGGGCATGAGGCGATAGAGGCGAACTCGCAGTATTTTCATCTGGCGGCGTGGGCGATACCAGCGATTAAGACCATCACGGTCCTGGCCATGGGCAAAGTGGATGGTAATTGTTTTGTTTGCACTTTTATCGCTAATCAAATATTGCATAAAGAGAAATGACATAGATGACTGCATGCATATATTTAAACACGGGTGACCTATGTTGCAACAACTAATTGTGTCAAGATAGCCCTGTGATTATATTTGTTTAGCAACATTGACTCTTATGGCACGAAAATATCAAACAAAATAATAACAGATAATAAAACGTGCAATTTATTTCTAAAGTAATGCTGTTGGCAACACAATTGACAGTTAAGTCCAATAACTGTCAAATCATAGATTAATATAGATGCGACATACAGGGTGATTTTGCAAAACCACCCTTATTGACATTGGAGTCCTCAACCGCCAAATTTAAATAGTTGATGCCAACAAAACAACTTGTTTCACTACAACTCGTCGTTTGAGAACTTGTTTGATCTACAGACCAGAGCGCGCTCAGGCCAATGTCGACTCTAAACGTTCGGAAACGATTTGGTTGGTTTGGAATATAATTTCTGCGGGAAATAGTTGTTTGGTCGGTTTTTATAACGATTAATAAGTGAATATTTTTGGTACATATTTAGATGATTTTACATATTTTGTTTAACTAAGAATTAATTCTTTATTTGTGTTTTATACTAGCAAAACGTCTTAAACTAAGAATATTTTTGAAATCGTAATAACCCAATGGAGTTTTTTCGGGAAAATGTTTTGGAAACACTGTTCTATTTTGTATGAATTTATAAATGTTTTTAGTAACAATTTTTGTGGTTGTTTTCGATACACTATGATATTAACAGTGAGAAAAAAAATGAAACAGAAAAAATGTAAAATTTAAAAACCGAATTACGAAAAATCGAGAAATCGAAACTCCCAGATTTAAAAAATCGGGTAACTGAAAAATCGAAACATTGAAAAACTGGAAAATCGAAAAACCGAGAAATATAAAAATCAAAGGATCAAGAAATCGTGGAGTCGAAAAGTCGAACAATTGAGAAACCGAAATAGGTCAAAATCGAAAAATCGAAAAGTAAAAAATTGAACAGTTTATAAATTGAAAAATTGACAATCAAAATATCGAAAAATCCAAATCTCGATAAATCGAGAAATCAAAAAGCTTAAAAATTCGAAAAATTGAAAAATTGAGAGATTGAAAGATCAAAAGAATAAGAAATCGAAAAGTGGTGAAGTCGAAAAATCGAAAAATAGAGAAATCGACAAACAAAAAGTTAAAGTTGAAAAATTGGAAAAGCGGAAAAATCAAAACACGAAGAAATGGAAAACTGGAAAAACTGAGAAACCGAAATAGGCCAACATAAAAAATTGAAAAACTGATAAATCGAAAACCTGAACAATCAAATCCCGATAAATCGAGAATGAAAAATTAACAAATCGAAAAATTGAAAAACAGAACATCTAAAACTAGGAAGTCGAAAAATCGAAAGATTAAGAAATATTGAAAAATATCAAAAGATTGAAAAATCAAAAATTTAAAAATCCAAAAATTTGCAAATCGAAAAAGTAAAAAGGTAGACACAGAAAAATCCAGAAGTCAAAAATAGAAAAGCCGAAGAATTGAAATATTGAAAAATCCTAAAACTGAAATATCTAAAAACTGAAAAATCTAAAAATCAAAAAAGTGAAGTCGAAAAATAGAAACCTTAAAAAATCGAAAAATTGAAAAATCAAAAACCTGAAAAATCAAAAAGTTGAAGAATTGAAGAACAGGAAAATCGAAGCACTCGAAGGTCAAGAAATGGGAAAATCAAAACATCGATTAATTGAAAAATCTAAAAATTGACAGTTTATAAATGTCAAATTTGAAAAATTAAAATACATAATCGAAAAATCGAGAAATCTAATAATCGAAATATCGAAGAACTGAAAATCGAAAAATGAATCATCAGAAAATCGATAAAATGTAAAATTCAAAACTCTAAAATTTAAAAACCGAATAACGAAAAATCGAGAAATCGAAACTCCCAAATTTAAAAAATTGGATAACTGGAAAATCGAAACATCTAAAAACTGGAAAATCGAAAAACCGAGAAATCGAAAGAAAAAAAGATCAAGAAATCGTGGAGTCGAAAAGTCGAACAATTGAGAAACCGAAATAGGCCAAAATCGAAAAATCGAAAAGTTAAAAATTGAACAATTTGTAAATTGAGAAATTGACAGTCAAAATATCGAAACATTCAAATCTCGATAAATCGAGAAATCAAAAAACTTAAAAAATTGAAAAATTGGGAGATTGAAAGATCAAAAGAACGAGAAATCGAAAAGTGATGAAGTCGAAAAATAGAGAAATCGACAAACAAAAAGTTAAAAGTTAAAAAACTGAGAAACCGAAATAGGCCGAAATAAAAAATTGAAAAACTTATAAATCGAAAACCTGAACAATCAAATCTCGATAAGTCGGGAATGAAAAATTAACAAATCGAAAAATTGAAAAACAGAACATCTAAAACCAGGAAGTCGAAAAATCGAAAGATTAAGAAATATTGAAAAATTAAAATATCAGGAGATTGAAAAATCAAAAATTTAAAAATCCAAAAATTGCAAATCGAAAAAGTAAAAAGGTAGACACATCGAAAAAGCCAGAAGTCAAAAATAGAAAAGCCGAAGAATTGAAATATTGAAAAATCCTAAAACTGAAATATCGAAAAATCAAAAAAGTGAAGTCGAAAAACCTTAAAAAATCTAAAAATTGAAAAATCAAAAACCTGAAAAATAAAAAAAATTAAGAATTGAAGAACAGGAAAATCGAAACACTCGAGGGTCAAGAAATGGGAAAATCAAAACATCGATTAATTGAAAAATCGGAAAATTGAGTTTATAAATGTCAAATTGGAAAAATTGAAAAATCGAAAATTTGAAAAAACGACAATTGAAAAACAGAAAATCTAAAACGGGGAAGTCGAAAAATCGATTGATTAAGAAAACAAAACATTTGAAAAATTCGAAAACTTGAAAAATTGAAATATCGAAGAACTGAAATGAAAAATCGAGAAATCGAAAAATCGTAAATTTTAAATATTGAAAAATTAAAATATCAAAAAACGAGAAATCTAAAAGTGATGAAATCGAAAAATAGAGCAATCGACAAACAAAAAGTTAAAAGTCGAAAAACTGAGAAACCGAAATAGGCCAAAATAAAAAATTGAAAAACTGATAAATCGGGAATGAAAAATTAACAGTTCGAAAAATTGAAAAACAGAACATCTAAAACCAGGAAGTCGAAAAATCGGAAGATTAAGAAATATTGAAAAATCCAAAAATTGAAAAATCGAAAAAATAAAAAGGTAGACACATCAAAAAATCCAGAAGTCAAAAATAGAAAAGCCGAAGATTTGAAATATTGAAAAATCCTAAAACTGAAAAATCTAAAAACTGAATAATCGAAAAATCAAAAAAATGAAGTCGAAAAATAGAAACCTTCAAAAATCGAAAAATTGAAAAATCAAGAACCTGAAAAATCAAAAAATTAAAGAATTGAAGAACAGGAAAATCGAAACACTCGAAGGTCAAGAAATGGGAAAATCAAAACATCGATTAATTGAAAAATCGAAAAATTGAGAGTTTATAAAAGTCAAATTTGAAAAATTAGAAAATCGAAAATTTCACAAAATGACAAGTGAAAAACAGAAAATCTAAAACCGGGAAGTCGATAAATCAAAAGATTAAGAAATCGAAACATTTGAAAAATTCGAAAACTTGCAAAAATTGAAATATCGAAGAACTGAAATGAAAAATCGAGAAATCGAAAAATCTAAAATTTTAAAAATTAAAAAATCTAAAATTTATAAATCGAAAAACTGAAAAATCGAAAAAGTAAAAAAATCGACACATCGAAAAATCCAGGAGTCAAATATCGAAAAACTGAAAAATTGAAAACCTGAAAAATCCGAAAACTGAAATATCCGAAAACTGAAATATCCAAAAACTGAGAACCCAAAAAGTCGAAAAATTGAGCAATCGAAAAATCCAAAAAGTGAAGTCGAAAATCCTAACCTTAAAAAAGCTTAAAAATGAAAGATCAAAAACCCGAAAAATCGAAAAATTAAGGAATTGAAGAACAGGAAAATCGAAAAATTGAGAGTTTATAAAAGTCAAATTTCTCTCGCTGGAGGAAACGTGACGACTGCATGCCTATTATGTTTTTTTTTCATATTACATTCTTGTAGGGGTGCATTTTAAAATAAATTGAGTATAATTTTTTTCAATTTTGTCATTATTTGGCATTGACATCTTTGTAATTTTTTTTGTGATTGCTATGATTGCTTATTAAAAAAAATAAATAAATTGGACGAAGTCGTCTCTGGGGTGTATAATATGTAGCCAATGCAAAAATTGTCAGGCGTGAACAGATAACAGGCACACCCTGTATAGTACTTGTAATTTAAGACAAATACGTCTGCAAGATTTCAAAGGATTCGGTTTAGTAATTCCTGATTAAATCAATAAAATAATTTCACGCAACAATTAATTTTTTTGAGTCACCCTGTATATGCAAATCCAAAAAATATGAATGGAGTGATAGATCACAAGTACAGACTCATCATATTTTGCACATTTCAGATAGGATTTATTCAGCAAAATTTTGAGGTGACGTCATCATTTTGACTAAAAATTTTCCATGCCCATGATAACTTTAAAATACCTCCAAGATTTCAAACCATTCAGTTGTGTAGTTTCTGATTAAATTAAATCAATAAAACCGGAAAGTCGAAAAATCGAAAAATTTGAAACATTCAAAAACTTGAAAAATTGAAATATCGAAAAACTGAAATGAAAAATCGAGGAATCGAAAAATCTAAAATTTTAAATATTGAAAAATTAAAATATCAAAACTGAAAAATCTGAAATTTAAAAATCGAAAAATTAAAAAATCAAAAATCTGCAAAATCGTAAAATTGCAAAATTGAATAAGTAAACTGAAATGTCCAAAAGTTGAGAAATTAAAAATTGAAAAATTGAGAAATCGAAAAATCAAAAAAGTAAAGTTGAAAAATTGAAACG